GCTTTTTTCTTTTTGCTTATGTGGTGCTGAGGAATCGAACCCAGGGCCTTGAGCATGCAAGGCAAGTGCTCTACCACTGAGCCACCTTCCCAGCCCCTGATGCTTCTTACCATAGTAAGAATGACAACTGTGTCCCACCATACCCAGCTATGACTTGAGATAGTTTGTAAATATTTTTGTCTCAGCTTGCTGTGAACAGCAGTCTTCTGATTTCAGCTTCCTAGGATTACAATCATAAACCATTATTCTCTGCCACTTTGGGGCTTATGATTATCTGAGTGGATTGGGACATTTGTGATGAGCTCAGAGCTCCTGTGCTGATGGTTTGTTTTTGTTTTTTTTTTAATCTGAGTGACCTTTTCCTCTTGGAGTGTGCTGCCTCTAGTTTTTCTAAGGGACTTGGGTTAAAGGGTTAGGAAGTATTCTATGGGATAGTGGTGCTTCATAGCTGGCGTAGGGTTTCTTAGTCTCTTGGGGAGGCATAGCTCTGTCTGAGTATGTATAGCACAGGCAGGCATGATTATGAAGTTCAGTGGAAGTTGGTTGGTAGGGTGCTAAGGAGATCCAAGCAAGCATTGCAGAGAGACAGCTGAACAGTTGAAGGGGACTCTAGTCATAGGAATACTATCCCCTCCCCCAAAACACACATGCCATGCCTTCTCCCAATACTAAACGATTTATTAATTCTTGCAGGACAGGTTGCCTGGAAGCGAGCTGTCAAAGGTGTTCGAGAAATGTGTGATGTCTGTGACACCACCATCTTCAACCTGCATTGGGTGTGTCCTCGGTGTGGATTTGGGGTGTGTGTGGATTGCTACCGGATGAAAAGAAAGAATTGCCAACAAGGTGAGAGCTTTCCTAATTCTGCTCTTACCCCATGACACATTGAAAATGAAAGCCTGACATCAGTTCCTGGGTTTTCTTTGTGTTAGGCGTTTGAGCTTTACAGCCTGGCATGTGTTAGGCATGTATTACTTTGAGCCATGTCACCATCCCTGGTTGATGCTCTGGGGCAGCAGGGTCCATGGAGAAGTCACCGCAAGTCTGTTATTTGCAGGTGCCACCTACAAGACTTTCTCTTGGCTAAGATGTGTGAAGAGTCAGATCCATGAACCTGAGAATCTGATGCCCACACAGATCATTCCTGGCAAAGGTATTTCATGTGGGGCAGGGATTTCCTTCCTTTTGTGTCTAGGTTAACTCACAGGGGCTGATAAGTTTGGTTTGACTTGGTATGGTGTTGTGATTACTTACCTTATTTTCCTGTATTCTGTGAATTGCCCAGAAGAACATAAAATAATGCCCCAGCATTTTTTAAAAATCTTGCGGCTAGTTTTATAGAAGTTAAGAAAATGGCACACTTAGGAAAGGCAGGATGAAAAAGAGGGGTTGGAACACCATGCTGCTGAGAAAAGCAATCCTGTGGGAAATGTCAGCTGTTCTGTTGGCTTGAGGTTGAAAGTATCTTAACACCCTTGTTCAAATGTTTGCCTCTGAACCTTTTTTTTTCCTAGCCCTCTATGATGTTGGAGACATTGTTCATTCTATCAGAGCAAAATGGGGAATAAAGGCAAACTGTCCCTGTTCAAACAGACAGTTCAAATTCTTTTCAAAGCCAGTCTCAAAGGAAGACCTCAAACAGGTATTGTTGCTTGTGCTGTTCACCGTCCTTGTGATTATTACCTGTTTTTTCAAGTAACCCAGGGATTTCTAGCAGAGTATTTGGAAGGAACATAAAACAGCTATCAGTGGGGTAGACAGTTCACAGCCCTGTTCTTACACTTCATTGCGTTTGTGCACCCCATCTGTGACCCCTTTCAGGCTTTACATTTTTGTCTCTTGAGAAAGCCAAACCTCTCTGCATTTTACCTACCTAGTGTGTTGCTAACTTGTACACATATTTAAATGTTTTTCATGTGTCCTGCAGAATTTTTCAGGTAAGCTTGAAAGATTTTTAATGAATACATTTTCTTACCTACAATCTACATGAAGAGTTGAAGGAAGTAAGGGTGAACAAAGCCCTGTGTCCATTACTCTTTCCTAATGGCATCGCTGATCCTTACCATCACACCTGCCCCTCTTTTCCTTCTCTGCCCCCACCCCACTCATCATTGTCCTACAGTTGTGTTTAATAATCAAAAATTCTTGTACATTTGCTTAAAGCTATGGTGTTGAAGGTAGCATGAGGTCATAAAAGAGTTTTTGGTCTTTGGGACCAAAACTGAACTCAAATTCTTTCTCTATGAGTTTCTCATCAGTGATACAGGAATGGTAACCAGAGCTAACGCCTGGGCAACAGAGAAGCATGTCACATTTAGCATACAAGTTTGAATATTCCTTTTACTCCTCCTGTTTTTTCAACTCATCAACTGAATACCAGAAGAAGTGGTGTGCCTTTTCCAGTTTGTTTCAGTTTATCTTTTAAAAGCTTTCAGGAGACCTCATCATATTTTGAAGTTTAATCAAAAGTGCATTTTCCCTTTTCTTTGTCCCATTTCTCCTGAAACCCTAGCTTTTCTTTTCTGCATGCCTCATCTATTCATTCAGTTGTATTTTGAGCGCTTCTTCTGGCCTATTTTTCAGGGAACCCTTGCCATTTTAAAGTCACGTGATATATAGAATAATAAAGGATATGTATGAACTTGGGCTGGGTGGTAGAGGAATGAAGGAATTAAATACCTTGTGAATTGTATGTGTTATATGTCCTGTGTTTTCACTATAATGCTTGGAAGTAACAGATGGAGGAAGTTCCTTATTCTCTGTGATATTTACAATTGTGGTATCTAGGGCTCTTTATTTGCTAGCTTTGTTTTGGTTACTTACCTCTTATTAGATGGCTTTTAGAGGAGAAAATAAGAAAGGGAAGATAGCAGGCTTTTGCTTTTGCGTAATTTTCCTTTTACATGTACCACAGACGTCATTAGCTGGGGAGAAACCTGCTCTTGGGACTGTGATCCAGCAGAATCCCTTGGTTTTGGAGCCAGCGACTGTGGGTGAAGAAGCAGCCTCCAAGCCGGCCACCAGCATAAAACCCACCTGTCCTGCCAGCACCTCGCCTTTAAGCTGGCTTGCCGACCTGACCAGCGGCAATGTCAACAAGGAAAACAAGGGTCAGTTGCTGCCTTGTTGTTTGTTAGTTCCTGAGAACATGAGTTCACTCATGGAGGGACCTAGTGGCCTCCGCTATTGAGAACAGTGGTTAACATCCCAGAAGTTGTTCTGCAATCTGCCATCAGTGTGTGTGACATACAGACCAAAGAGAAGTTACACTGCTGATAGAACTTTAGATTAGATAAGGCCTTGTTTGGGAAGATGGTGCTGTGCTTAACAGTTACTTATTGGTTAACCTTGCTGTCTGCTTATACATCATCCTGTTCTGTCTAAATTGGAATGTGCTGCCAGCACTTTCTCTTTTGTTACCGCTGCTGCTGTCTCAGGCATGGACTTTGGTGTTGAGTAGACTTAGATTAGAATTTGGGTAATTCTTCTTTCAAGTGAGAAGAACTACAGGTCATTTTCCTTCATGCAAACACTCAATTGTAGTGAGTCAAATTTGACCGTAAAGAAATTACATGCATGACCAATCAGTGTTGTTCTGGAAATGTAAGTGTAGCTGGATGCCTAAAAGTTGGAGGAGAGCTTTTTCTTTTTTCTTTTTTTGGTCGGTCATGGGGCCTGAACTCTGGGCCTGGGCGCTGTCCCTCAGCTCTTCAGCTCAAGGCTAGCGCTCTACCACTTGAGCTATAGAGTCCCTTCCAGCTGTTTCTGCTTATGTGGTGCTGAGGAATCGAACCCAGGGCCTCATGCATGCAAAGCAAGTACTCTACCACTGAGCTAATAGGTTACTAAGGAATATATTCTAGCATGCTATTAAATGTGGATGCTTTTGGTTTTGTCTTAGAAAAACAACCAACAATGCCAATTTTAAAGAATGAAATCAAATGCCTTCCATCCCTTCCGCCTCTGAATAAATCCAGCACTGTCCTACATACCTTTAACAACACAATTTTGACACCTGTTAGCAACAATAATTCTGGATTCCTCCGCAATCTCTTGAATTCCTCTACAGGAAAGGTAGGTACTTGTGATGTTGATAAGCAGGAAAAGAAGATTTAATAAGTTAAAGTGTAGGAGGAAGGACCTGTTAACCTCTGTGGGGACAAGTCTCCCTGGCTTACAGCAATGGGCCAGGACCCAATATCCTTTATACTGTTTCTTACTCTCACTTCTCTGTACCCAAAGGGAGGGTGGGAAACGCCTCATTGGCCCTGGCTTGGACTCCCTATCCGACCATCAGCGTGGGTTCTTTTGGTTTGGTTGTTTTGGGGTTTTTTGTTTTGGGTTTTTTTTGGTACCAAGGAATAGTGTAATAGTTGTGTTCTTTCCCAAATTCAGACAGAGAATGGGCTCAAGAATACACCAAAAATCCTTGATGACATCTTTGCTTCTTTGGTGCAAAACAAGACTTCTTCAGATTTACCTAAGAGGCCTCAAGGACTGACCATCAAGCCTAGCATTCTGGGCTTTGACACTCCTCACTACTGGCTGTGTGATAATCGCTTGCTGTGTTTACAAGATCCCAATAACAAGAGCAACTGGAATGTATTTAGAGAGTGCTGGAAACAAGGGCAGGTAATTCCGGCCTCTGCTTCCCTGGCCCAATTCAAATCCATCTTCTTTGTTCCTTTGACATAGTTCTGCTAACCCTCACCCCCTTAAATGGTATTACTTTTATGTTGAGGGTGGATCTAATGGAGGATGGGGGTGGCTGTGTGTCTCACTTTATGCTTAACTTGCCTTTCCAAGTTAAGAGTCTTGAGTGCCTCCCGTTGGCCATGCTTGTTTTGTGGTTATTTTGTTTTCCCCTCCCATTTTCCCTGCTGGGGATTGACCTCAGGCCTCATTTGTCATAGGCAAGCTTTTACCACTTGAGTCATGACCCAGGCCTTTAGTCTGGGCTGGCCCCAGAATACAATCCTGTTTCTGCCCCCACAACTAGCTCAGATTCCAGGCCACCATGCCTTGTTTTTTTGTTTTTTGTTTTCTCAATGAGGCACAGGCTTAGTGAATCATGTTTAGTGGACATGAACAGGGGAAATAGAAGTGTGACTAAGAGGCAGAGAGGTGGGTCTTGGAGGATTAGACAAAATAGTTTTTTTTTTAATTATGCTTTCAGGCTGGGAAGGTGGTTCAGTGGTAGAGTGCTTGTCTTGCATGCATGAGGCCCTGGGTTCAATTCCTCAGCACCACATAAGCAGGAAAAAAAAAAAAAAAAGGT